ATACCCACAAATGACGAAACTATTGAATTTTAAATATTTGGATGAATTTTAAAAAAAATTCATTTTTTCATTTTTTTTTAATTTTATATATTTTTTCGCTGGTCCGTTTTGGTTTTAAACCGTAATTAAAATTTTCAAACCTAAACCAAAATATTTTGACCGGTTTAGTTTGGGTCAAAACCGTTTCGTTGACTAGGTCCGCGTGGCACCAAACCGACGGTTTCTAAAATGCAATTTTGGTTCAATTGTTCGATTTTGCGATTTTTGCTTACAGCCCTACTCTTAAGAATTGGAATTCCCCAAAAACAAGGAAAATGGGCGCCGGACGCTTGAGGGGAGAAAATGGAAAAGAAATTCCATGAAAAAAAATTGCCATCAAACATCGCAAAAATGAGAAACCGGAATTCATTTTCCATTTTCCATGGAAATCATGGCCAGTCGAATTAATCAATGTCGCCATAAAATTTCAACCGTCATCTTCTCTGGCAGTGATTTCATTTGAATCGTTAGTACATTTCGACGTCGGGCCAAAAAATTTAAAATTTCAACCATCATCTTCTCCGACAGCATTTGATGAAGGGGAATCTGCTCTAGTTTTACTCTGTGGTCAATAGCTAGGCTGCTTGCTCTAATTATGATGGCGTGTCAGGGGATTTCTTTTCTTAAACATTGAAAGCCGTAATTAAGTAATTCTAGATGTTATTTTATCTATTTTTAAGATTGATAGCCGTCAATTAATATTTTTATCATGTATTTGATCTAAGTTTGCGATCTCATTATCTTTATTGTTGTTGTTTTTCCCCTTAATGTGATGCTTTTAAGTTCTTGGGATTTTTTGTTAGTCAGATTTTGTTAAAATCTTGGGAGTTTTTGAATATTTTGTTAAAACATACTGAAAATGTTTCTAGTGTCAAACTTCCTACATTTGATTACTTCATTGACGGTGAGATGAAGAATGTCTTGACTGGATTAGCAAGAGGTGGCCAACAGATACAGGCATGCGGTGCTGCCTATGTGAAATCCATTGAATTACTTGTCGAGCTTGCTACGCTGTAGACATCATTTTTAGCCCTTGATGACGCAATTTAGACCACAAATTTTGTAGGGTCAACGCCCTGGAGTGTTGTGAAGCCTCGATTGTAGAATACAATTAGTTACATCAAAAGAGAGGATTTCTTCAAGCTGAAGGAGATACAATGTTACAAAATGAGAGGGCTTGAGAGACAAACATTTAGCTGCCATGGCATTTGTAGAGCTCTATGATAACCTATATTTATTTATGAGCGGAGCCTTTACCCTGCTGTTGTGAGAATACCATTTCGCTGACGAAAAGTTTATAATAGTTATTAGTGTAATTGAGCCATCATACTTTCATTCATTGTATAAAAATCTTATTCATTGTATGTTGAATATCAAAAGAATAAATTTTACTAGCAATTAAGCTACTTATACAATGAAATGCTCCAAAAATGACTAACTGCAGATTACACCATGGTCATTTGTAACTAATAGTTGTTCTACAGATGCACTCGGGGTAATGGAGTTGAGAGACAAACCCAATCCTCCGTCCACGTACTAGATGGCTTTATGAAGCATGAAAGATATGTGCTATGAATCGTTGCAACATCTAAAATTCTCTTATCTTATAAATCATACTTGATTCCACAGCAAAGCTTTAATGAGATGCATTTGTTCCCTCATATGCAATACAGAATGAAACCTGAAGAGTAGAAGAAACATCTCTTGCAAGTGGATAGTAGAAGAAACCCGAAGAGTCTGTTCGAAGCTATGACCTACTTTAGGAAACATCTCCTGCAATAAAATAAAGATAACTATAAATTAGTATGCTTGAGTGAATTAATGTTACATATATTCACTTCAGCAACAACACGTTACAGTTTAATGCAAACCAGGCATAAATAAACAAGGTATTTGCCAATTTTAATGTTTAAAAAACAAATGCTTATTGTAGAAAACAATCTCGGGGCTTGATATGGGATCGATCCTATTCGTTAAAAATCTCAAATAAAGATAACTAACCTGATAGATGAATAATTCACACACATATACACACCTACATAGAGAGAGAGGGGCGAGGACACACACACACACACTGATATTAATTAACATCTATCAATCTTAAAAAAATAGATAAAAATAACATCTTGAATTAAGAACTTTCAATTTTTAAGAAAAGAATTTCCCAGATATGCCATCATAATTAGAGCAGGTAAAACCAGAGCAAGCAGCCTAGCCAAGTACACATGGACCTGCAGGTCACCCACCTCATTAAATGCTACCGGAGAAGAAGACGGTTGAAATTTTACGTTTTTTGGCCCGACGTTGTTGAAATGCACAAATGGTTCAAACGAAATCAATGTTAGAGATGATGATGGTTGGAATTTTTGGGCAACATATATTGATTTGCTTAAGGGTTTGACGATCGATTTTGGGAGAATATGATTTCTGTGCATAGAGACGAATTGGTTTTTTATTTCATTGGAGGAAGAGGTGTGTTTGTTTTGACTGACTTGGAGCTGAGTTAGAACTTGGCATCACATTTGGAGACATTTAACTTGCCACATCATTTTTCCATCCACCACGTAATCAAACATATTCCATCCAATAAGTGATGGAGTTGGACGAATTAAAGTTCAATGGGCAATGGGACGCTTCATAAAGTTCGATGAGTAAACTGTGACATGATGAAAAGTTCAGTGGCCACTCAAACATTTAACTCCCCTTTCTCCGAGTCTCACAGCTCCGGGTATGAATTTAGCTCAACTCTCCTCAGATAAAATTTGCATATATGCTTATATTATATATGTGCAATTATAGAGATAGAGACAGACACAGACACAGATTATAATGTGTTTGCGTGTAGTTTTGAGGCAATTATAGACACTGGGAGAGAATTCTGATTGGTCAATAGAAATCGATTTCAATGCTATTTTGTATTTCTATATCAGCCAGTAATTATTCCGTTTGTCTTGTCAGAACGTTGTTAATTTTTCTTTTTTATCTTTATTCAGGATTTGAGAGCTTAATTACGAATCTCATACGGCTGTTTACTTGTTCATATTATAACTGGTATTTTTGTTTTTGATGTATTATCTGTAGGGTATAGAAAAAACCATTCTTATCGTTCCTGCTAAAAAAAGAGGATAGAAAATGGTGGGGCCGTATAAGATGAAGGGCCAAAAGCGAAAGAAGAAAGAGAAGAAGAATCTGAACAATTAGATGACAATGATATGCCTGAGTCACCAAAAAAACCGAAAACAGAGGGCTCTAAGTTAGAGAAGGAGAAATCAGAAGAAGTTGTTGATGAAATGCCCGGAATCCCCATTGTTCCGGTCGATGCAGGGAAAAAGCCTGGGGTTATTATTCTCGAGAGGGTGTCCCTGGAAATTGGGAAAGTTGGAAAGGTCGGTATAGATGGTGGGGGTATGGAGTTATGATTTGCTTTTTCTTTCCTTTTATTAATACTTATATTGTTGTGAAGACAAATGTATGGATCTTTTACTCAAAGCTTGATTAGAGTATCAGTTGTCAACTATCAAGATTGCATTCCAATTTCACTCATGCCTTGCAAAAATTGGTTTCAAAAAAAAAAAAAAAACTTTATTTGCTCTAATACAATATTGAACTACTTGACATGACATGTTAACAAGTCATTGGCTCAAGTAAGAGGAAAATGATATTGATCTTACAAATGATAGTTGAGCATCGATTGTGAATGGATCGAATATTTATTATTATTATTTTTTTTTATAAAAATTAAAATATTCTAACAGATTTGATATAAAAAATTGGGAGATTTGGTTATAAGCCTAGAACCAAGAAACAAACTAAACTCGATTTTGATTTTGGTTTGAGAGATTTCGGTTTCAATTCAGGAGGTTCCTTCTGATTAAAATGCCCACCCCTATATAGAATGTGTCTTTTTTCAAAATTCATTCTTCCAAATTGCAATTGAGGCTTTGTTTGATTTTCAATTTTTTCAATCATGCATTCTTTCGATAAAATAATTTTGCACGTAAATTCAAAATTATTTAAACCTTTTTAACTACACTCTTTTTTTTTTTTAAATAGTTTTTAACAAAATCCAATCCGAAAAAATCTACACCAAGCAAAGATTGAATGTTTAATACCTTTTTGTTTGGAATAAAGGACCGTTTGGCAAGACGTGAAATTTCTCTTATCGAAACGAAAGGTGCGTCGAAGAAAAACATCTTCTTAATATTGAATTGTGTACAGAAAATTATACAGTATAATAAATAAAATCTTAATTAATTTTATGTTTAGTATTTTACGTATGCTCGTATAAGTCCAATAGGTTATATCCCAACAATTTTAGAATTTTGAATTGTAAATCTCATTTTTATAAGAATGAGAATGAAAAATATAGTCGTTGCGGGATCCACACAAGAGAGAGGAAGTCAAATATGATGATTTTATGTGATGAATAACGATAATATTTTTGTGGCCAAAAAATAAAAAACAAACATGGCCTTAATTAAATAGATGCGAAATGCTATCATTTTTACTGTGTTTGCCGCCAAAAGGATATAATGCTCTGTATTAACTAATTTCGAATGATTTTCTGCCACGTATACCATCATGCATATTAAGCGTGACTCAAATATTTCCCAGCGTAGCACATTATTATAGGAAAAGTCCTCTAACTTTCAAATGAGTTGCATTTTGATCATAAATCTACAAATAGAACCATTATATTCTTTACCGTTCAATTTTATTGCACAGGAAAACTTCAACTAAAAAAATAACACTCAACTGGAAAATCTTTGAAAATAATAATTTTCAAATGAAGTACAACTAAAAAAGAACATAAAAATATAGAAAAATTGATCAAACAATTACTTTTTGACTTTTTGGATTAAAAAGGTTACAAAATGAAAATATAGATACCAGATGTGAAAAAGTCTGAGGGTTAAAATTGGAAATTTCATTCATCTTCTACGTTCTTGCACGCTGTTGTTATTTACGTGCTCAGAGAAATCACTGCACCATTTGCACTCCGAAGCGAAGCGAGGTTTGTCCGATTAAACTTTGATTCTTAGTTTTTTATTTCATTGTTTCCACACACTAATCAACTTTTAATTTCAGGAAAAACGAAGTTTTCTGGAGTTTCCGAGAGGAGGTAATATGAAGATTTGTCCGATTAAACTTTGATTCTTGTTTATTTATTTTTGATGATCTTTTGATCGATCTGTGTATATTGTCTCAGGACAATGCCGGATGCAGTGAGTGACGTTCATAAGAAACTACAAGCTTATAAAAAGGTTTGCCTATTACTTATATCATGATTTTCTAATTATTTTTCATTTATTAGTGAGTTTTTAGTTTCTATAGTTCTACATTCTTCTACTTTTAGTTCGTTTGTTAAGATGATAGCTGGAGATTCTTCGTTTGTATTGCTATTTATATATACATCCAGTGTAATACGTTCAAGTTGAATAATAATTTTCCTGAACTCAATAGCAAGAAATCAAAAGTTTGAAACATAATGCATGATATCCTGTTTTAAATAACGTGTGTGTTTCAGTAAATAAACAATAGAAGATGCAATACATATTGTTCAATGAGGTTAAAGTTACCAATGGCTACAAGCCAAGATTTGATCATGTTTCTTGTATTTTGCATTTACTTCCTCAATCTTCAACCTGATTTGATCATGAAGTTTTCTTTTATTGCTCCAGCCGTGTTTCTTCCTTTCAAATTACTCTTGCCAAGTTGTGGTATTGGTGCTAAATCAAGGAAATGAGTAGGTTGTTTACCATAAACTATCCCAAAAGGACTTTTACCCGTACTTCTGTTCTTTGAATAGTTATAAGCAAATTCTCCTCGCGCAATGATAGATTCCCATTGTTTTGGATTTTCACAAACGAAGCATAGCAATAGATTTTCCAAGCTCCTCTGTTTGGGGATGATGGGAACTAGGACATTCCCTAGCTTTGTTGACATGCCCTCCAAAAATGTGACAAAAATTTAGAACCTCGATCGGAAGTGATGTTCTTGGGTACTCCATCTTGATCTAAGCGGACACCTTCCTTGAAATAGAGATTTGCGATATGAGTTGCATCTGATGATCTTTTGCAGCAAATAAAATGTGCCATTTTAGAAAATCAATCAACTACCACAAATATTGAGTCCATTCCCCTTTGTTTTCTTGGTAGTCCCAAAACAAAATCCATACTTACGTCCTCCCATGGTGCTGTTGATACAGATAATGGGGTGTAAAATCCAGTATTCTGAGTTTTCCCTTTGGATTCTTGGCAAATACCACACCTGTCAACCATTTTGTACACATCACGCCTCATTCTTGGCCAAAAATATATCTGCTCAAGCATTGCATAGGTTTTGCTGCACCCAAAATGTCTGCCTAATCCTCCACCGTGCTTCTCTAGGATAAGCTTTTCTTTTAATGAAGAATCAGGGATGCATAGCCGTTCTCCTGCGAAAAGAAATCCATCATGTAACACATATTCTCCTTGCTGCCCATTAATACAATCTTTCCAAATTGAACTAAAGAAAGGGTCGATGGGATACAAGTCCTTGAGAGAATCAAATCCAACCGTAACTGTAGACATGCTTGCTAGCAACATGGTTCTTCGGCTGTGTGCATCAGCCACCTTATTACTAATGCCAGATTTGTGCTTCTAAACAAATGAAAATCGTTGGAGAGATGAAGCCCACCTTGCATGTCTTCTATTTATCTTTAGTTGGCTGTTGATATACTTCAAGGCGTCATGATCCGAGAATAGAATGAACTCTCTTTGTATCAAATAGTGCTGCCAATGTCTTAAACCTTGAACAATCGCATAAAACTCTTGATCATAAGTGCTATAACGTCATCTCGTGTCATTTAACTTCTCGCTGCAAAATGCAATAGGTCTGTTTTCTTGGCTAAGAACAGCCCCGATCCCGATTCCAAATGCATCACACTCTACTTCAAAGATTTTATCAAAATTTGGAAGTGCAAGAACAGGTGTTGTACAGATCTTGTCTTTGACCAGTTTAAAACTTTCACCCCCCCTGTTTCGTCCATTCGAGCTTCCCTTTCTTCATACAATCTGTTACGGCAATTATGGTGCTGAAAATTTTTATAAACCTCCGGTAAAATGTTGCTAACCCGTGGAAGCTTCACAGGTCACTTACTGTAGTTGGTGCTGGCCAAGAGATTTAGATGGAAAAAATGCCTTTTAATTTAAGTACTACTTTATTAGCTTACCAGAAATAGTAATGGTAAGCTGAGTTCTTTATTAGTTTATGAAATAACATGTGCCAACAATATATATTATTGTATTTTCTTATCTTTTCCTTGCCTAGAAACACTTTGGCTGATAAAATTTTCCAGATTTTCAATTTTTACCACATATTCGACTGTTTGAATTAAATTTGAAGCTCAATGATTGGTTCATATATGTTCTAGGATGAATATCCTTTCTTTTAGATATCATATTTTTTGCTTGTTTTAATATTGAAAGTTGCTATTTATGCCCTTATTTGAGCCCCATTTTAGAGAGAATGTATTTTGGAATAGTAGATTAATGGAGAATGTGTGACTAAAAATTAAGGAACAAGTTTTTGATTTGTGTGTAATATTATTCTACTGGAGAAGGAGAATGTGTGGTTGGAAATGAATTTTGAAAAAATAGAAGAAAGGGACTCAAACAAGTGCTATATAGTTGATAAGGGACATTGTGGGAATGAATGATTAGTTAAAATGGTAAAATGGAATGTTTCCTAAAAACTGAAGACAATTTCTCGTGGGATTCATTCTACTTTAAATCTTTTCTTGTGCAGAAAATTGAAAAGACGCGTGCCAAAAAGGAGAAAGTAGTTTCCAAGAAGGAGAAACTAGTTTCCAAGGAGAAGAAATTAATGGCAAAGGAGGAAAAACTAACTGTCAAGCTGAAAAAATTGTCAAAGCTAAAGGAATCAAAGGTTGAATCTACATTTGATTATAACCTTTCTAATTTTATTTTAAACCATTATTTTTAAGTTAATCTATTAATTATCTTTATGTCCGTACAAAAACACAAGGGAAAGGAAGCTCTTCGGGACCCGATGGCTCGGAAAAGGAAGTGAGATAACAAATTAACATAAATAAATTGATTTGTTAATATTTCATTTGCATGTGACATAATTCATTGCGTTGTATACAATTGAAGGAAGGTGAATTATAGCCATCAACTTATTTTGTCTATCGAATGTTTAACCATTTTTGGTTAATGTGAAGGAAGAGAAAGAGAACTGAACAAAATCTGAAGGAGAGTGAGGCCAAAGTGAAAGAATTGGAGTTGGAATATAGGAAATTGGCTTTTCCGGGAGAAAATGCTGGTAATGTTTAGCTTAATGCATTTTTATTTGATTATTAAACGTATCATTTTATTGATTTGCATACTTTTTCCTTGATAGAAGTAGGAGGAAATGCCCAACTGGGCGAGGATTGTTCTTAATACCATAGGTTGGTTTGTTTTCTATTGGAGACAGCAAAGGATAGATGTGAAAAGTAGGAGGGAGACTTTAGATTTACTATATTTCGTATGATGTCGTTAAAATTTCTAAGAAACAATTCAAAATCATGGATTTTCTGTTAGTTGTCTATATTGACTATTAGTATGCATATCCAACTAAAAACCGGATCCGAGCATGTTTGCCCATATGGAATACTTGAATTCTATCACCATCACTTGGAGAAACTAGCATTTAGTGGCTATGCTAACATGACTTCAAAAAAGTTTGCATGTGAATATTCTAAGTTTTTAGCGAAAATTAAAAATCAAATATTTATGTGCTATTGGGATTTGTGCATCGTTAATTGGCACGTGCAAGGTTGCAATTGTCTCAATTGTGCCCTTTTGCCATTTCCTCCACTAGTGCCGACTTTTCCACCCTTTACCTACACCATTTGCAGCAGCTCTCCATAAATAATGGAGTCCCATATCACTGCCAAACATGACTTTCCAGTCGTAGCCTGAATAAAATCCTGTAGCAGCTCCATCATAATTTCCAGCCAACTTTTTATTGCCCAAAGTTCGTAAGAAATTAGTTACCTCCTTCTTCTTCTCCTTCATTTTTTTTTTTTTTTTGGTTGGTATTCAAGCCGATATTCATGAAATAGCTTCCATCGTTGATTTTGACATAGAGAAACACACATTACAACCCCGCGGCATCTCAGGTTATTTAAGGTAATTTATTCTACAAAATGCAGATTAAATTACAAAATTGAATTGTTTGTGATTAAAATTAGTTTTTTTTTTTTTTTTTTTATGTTTTTGAGTTTGTGAAAAATTAGGGATGTTGATATGAATGTAAAATATTATTACGTTAATTGTTTCAGTTCTTATAATTTCCTCAAACTGATTTTTAATCACATATTTTTAGAATAAAATATTTTGCACATAAATCCAAAAATTTGCAATTACAAAACTTATTTTGATTAAATTCAATTGGTTATGATTTGTACTTTTTGAGTTCATGAAATATTCGAGATATTGAGATAAATGTATTAAAATTACTATTGAAATATTTTATTGGATGTATATAGCACTACTTTTTGTCACTTAATATTTATTAATTTTATTATTAGGCCATGTTTGATAGGCCATGATTTTCGTGAAAAATGGAAAATGAATTCCACTTTTCCATTTTTGCCATGTTTGATGGCAAATTTTTTTTTCCATGAAATTTGTTTTCTTGGTTTTCTTGCCACATAGACATTCTCTTGGTTTTCAAGGTTTCTAGGCTATCTGCTGATTTTATTTTATTTTTTTTGGCAATGAAAACAAAATTCTATCTCTAGTTGTAAACTTTTTTCTTTAATTGATAATTTTCATGTAAAACAAAGTCAAACGAACACCAAAGATAGATGATTTTCTTGAAATTTTTTGGCAATGAAAACAAATTTTATCTCCGATACCAATAAATTTTATCTCTTTAATCGATAAGTTTTATGTAAAACAAAATCAAACGAATAAAAAAAAACACTTTTATTTCAATCTTTTTCACGTGAAAAATTATATCAATCAAACACAATAATTAACAATTCTCAGTAAAGAAATTTCTAGGCAATTTATTTTCCTGAAATTCGTTTTTTCACCCAAATTTCATCTTTACAATTAAACGTACTCTCATTTCAGAAACAAGTTAATTGTTTTGAATGCTTACTGAATTTAGGTCTATATTTTTGATTGGCCACTGAAATTTAAAATATCGAGTTTTCATCATTAAACTTGGGTCCATGACTTATATTGCTCATTAAAGTTTAAAATATCGAGTTTTGATCATTGAATTTTAAAAAATATTGTATGTTATTCACTGTAAACTCGACATTTTCCAAAGTTTAACATTTATGCAAGTGAGTAAGGGTGGAATTCTTTTAACATAGAAGTTGCATTGAACAAGATATGCGATTTAGATTCCTACCACTAGGGCTTGGTATAAACCAACCCAAACCACTCAAATTGACTAACCCAAAACAAATCGATTGGTTTGGGTCGATTTTTTAAGTTCAATTGAGTTTGGTTGGATTGGTTTTGGGTCTCGGGTTATGAATTAAAACAAAATCCAACCCAACCCGATGATTTTAAACATTAATATCTATGATGAAAAAATAATTTAAATAGACAAAATAATAAAAATAAGAGTATGACATATAATTTATAAACGTCAATTTTCTTCACATAGATGACATATAATTTATAAACGTCAATTTTCTTCATAGATCGATTCACATGAACATTATGTACAAATGTAATGTTATTTGACGATAAAATAAAAATTAAGGACATGATTATGAAATGAAATGAATGAATTTCAAAAAATTGTAAAAAAGAAAATTCTTCATAAATTTTAAATTTATTTATACATTATTTTTAGAAAGAATTCTTCGTATATATTTGTTTAAAAAACAGAGGTTTTCTAGTAATTTTCAACTTTTAAAAATTATCCAAATTTAACAAATAAATCGGATCCAACTTTAAGTGGACCGAAACCCAAACCTACTAACCCAATGAATTTAAATCAATAATTGAATTAGATTGAGTTGATTTTCGATCAAATCGATCATATTGGGTTGAAAAAAAACCTACTCGACCCTACTCCAGCCCAACCCTGCCTACCACTACCCGGAACCAACTATCCGACAATCTTATATAAGACGCAAAACTCTCAAGAAACGCAGCCGCTGGTCCAATTGCTCCTCATCACAATCCAGTCTTCTGCTTCTCCATTCTTTAACTGAAATAAGGTAAAGATATATATATATTGTTTCCTTTTCTTCTCGAGAGTGCCATTAAAATTCATAGATTAGTTAATAGCCTTCTGTTTCACATATTTGAATCATAATACAAAAACCCTAAATTGGTGAATTTGGTAACAGCCTTGGTACCCCTCATAACCAACCTAACATCCGTCTGAATTTTGTGTAATTTTTTTCCTTCCTTTCTGCCCTGGGACCGAACGTTTTGGTTTTAACGAAACAACCATCAATATCTATTTTTATTTATTCTATTGAGCATGTAACTTTGTTTTGCTAATTGCGAGGGGAATTCTGTGGAATTCTAGAATTTTTCTTTTACAGTTTGCAACAACTCCTTGACAAGATCCTTTATTTATGCTTGATTTTTAATGTGAAACTTTGTCACAGATTATAGCAATGTCGTCTCTAAGGAAACATATTCACAAGGATTATATCAGGCGCACACAAGCCTATAATAAGAAGAAGCAGGCTTTACAGGTAACTTTTTGAATTCTGTATTCAAATCTGGGCTTAAAATCCTCTTTCTAGTTTGTATTTGTTGTAAGTCACAATGTCCCTGCAGAAACTTAAACGAAAGGCAGCATTGAGGAACCCAGATGAGTTTTATTTAAAGAGGATCAAAACGAAAAAATTTGGTGTATTCTACAAGCTAAAGTGAGATAACAAATTCGCTAATTGATATTTCCTTATCTATTTCTTAAAAGAAAAAAATTATTCGCATTTAATTGGACCTCACTTGTTGTAGGAGACGGGCAAATAAGTACCCGGAAGATGATCTGGAATCTATTTTGCTGAAAAAGGTTTGATTTGTTTAGACTTTTATTTACTTTAATCATCACCCATTCTACTTAAGTCCGATTCTGGTATTAGTCTTGAAACGGGTACTATTTATTTTCGGTGAACTCAACTCATGATCATGTGATGCTTCCATAATGTACAAAATTATTAACTTGTCAAGGCTAACACCTCCATTGTTACATTTTCCTCTCATCTTAATTGTTCTATTACGGACCTGAAAGTAAAAGAAAACTTGCAAACCTAGAAACTTTCATCACCAATCTTTTAATCTAGGTGTGTAAAATATTCTCCAGTTGCACCTAATTCGTTTAATCTCGAAAATTTGCAATCTTGACCCTATAGCTTGAGTTATGTAAACTCGATTGCAACATCTATAGTTTTGTTGTCGCAGAATTTGGATGTTTGCAGTGATAATATCATTCTTAAGTTTGTCTCATGGTGCAATTGGTGTGTTGTGTTGGCGGATTAGGTGCAATTTCCTTCCTTTGAGCTATCATAATAGGATTTTTATCTACCTCCACCACCAATATTATCCTCCGGAGGCTCAATTTAATATCTTGAATTCTAGGATGCTATTGATACAGTTTAATTTGGTGCTGGAACTATGGGGATGAGTGATAATTTGAAGTGGTAAAATGGACTGCATTCTGTAAACTTAAGACATTTTAAGAGATTCATTATACTTTGTTGTGTGACACAGGAAATTAAAGAAGTAGATGTGGAACTGGAAGAGGTAAATCGGCAGCTGAACGAGGTAAATATGGAGCGGAAAGAGGTAAATCTGGAGCTGAAAGAGATAAATCAGGAGCTGGAAGAGGTAAATCTGGAGTTGGAAGAGGTAAATGCCGATATTGAAATCATGACAAGGGAAGCAAAAGAATCGAGGAAATTATTATATGATATGCAGGTACGGTTCCAGCGCCCTGTATAGTTAGATGGAACTTGAACTTTTCAACCTGTACTTGATAGTAGTTCAGCTTTAAATTGTGCATAAAACATTTTTTCCAGGAAAAAAAAGGAAATTTTACATTAATGTTACGTGTTTGCAGAAATGCAAGGAAAATGCAACGGTTGAGGACCCAAATCAATTTATCGATGATGGAGTCCTGACGGAAACTCAAGAGATAGGTGGCTCCTAGACAGTAGGAGCATCTAATAATTTTGTAGTAATACTAATATTTTGTGTTGATTTGAACTATTATTTATCTTTATATCTTTGTGTTTCTATGGTGCTCTAAACTTTTATTCGTCTTGTTAGTCCTGCAGAAAACTCTTTGGTTTTACAGTTTGATTCTTTCCAGTGTAAATATGTTAGAAAACATGCATAAATTGAAGCCTGTCCTGAAAATTTGTAGGCCCTAGGCTATAAATTATCACGAATCCTCTATACATAATTTTTTTTACAAGCATATTGACATTAGACATGTCCAAATAAAATAGTTTCTCATGATAAGAAATATTATACCTTTTGTACTCATCATTTGATTTGTATGAGAACCAATTTTTCGTTTTCAAGAAGTAGAATACAAAGATTTTTTTGAAAATCAGTGAGGTATGAGGATGGTGCCTACTATTTATTATAAAAAATATTTTATATTATAAAATATAAATTCAAAAGCAGCAATAAATTGAAGGACATTATTGGTAGGTAGGCCCCTACTTTATTTGTACTATCACGAAATATCTAATGTAAGAAATTTAGAAAATTCCAAAATAATTATTTTTTGGGCTTTCAAAATTTTTTTGAGGCCAGTGGCCTTCGGCCAGAACCAGCCCTAGGTCACTGATTCATGGTTCATCTCCCTCCCATTTTTTCACATATTATGAGAATTATAGTTGTGCTTTAGACCTTTTCTTTTTCCATAAAGTACATGTGATTCTCGACTTAAAAACAAAATATTTTATATAAATAAATAAAATATATATCATCAAATTCTTGTGAATCGAGGGTGTATTTGAAAATAATATCAAGTAATATGTTTGGTTGAAAATGATTGTTTGTGTATAATTAAGCCGATCCAAATATACCCTAAGTTATTGATATAATCACCCAAATGTTGCTTAACTCTAACAAGGACTTAAAAAATATTCATATTTATCTTGCTAAGATAATATCCATCCATGCGCACCGTTTCTTTTAAAAATAAATAAATAAATAAATAAATACTTGCTTCGAATATTCTTGTATGCGAGATTGTATAGCATCCTCATGTTTGCAGCAATTTCAGATAGTATTAGTCCCCTTTTAATTGTCTAACGAATCAAAATGTATTTCAATTTGTAATTTTTCGTGGTAGGTTTTGCAAAATACTTTTGTAAAGCGCGCGCGCGCGTGCACACACACCACACAGACACACATATATTTTTTGTTTTTTCTTTTAGTTCTAAAATAATACCGAAACTAATATAGAATGTATGTGGGATATTTATCTGCCCATTCCATCAAAGGCTTTGAATCTTAGTACGTTTTGAATCTTTACATGATTAATAAACGTTATTGATGATTAGGAGCATCTTTCGGTGTGTATATATATGCAACTTCAATTATGATGCCCCCTGTCTAGTTACTGTGAAAACTTGTTGAGTAACGTTGTTTAGCAAAGTTTATGCGGCAATTGTCTAACAAAATTGAAGTGTTTTCATACGTGAAACAATGTAGAACTAACCCAATGTTTTGTAGATTTGTTCTAAGCATCGATTGTGCTAAATATCATTTTGAAACTCTTATGAGCTGGGTATGGTGTTGGTGAATATATAAAAAAATTGCTTTAATGCTTTGTACTCACCTATTTATTCTTGAATTTAAAAATTAAATATAAAAGTAACAAAAAATAAGTAGAATCATATAAGTTCTGAAGTAATATTATTAATTTGTGTTGATTTGAACTATTCTTTATCTTTATATCTTTGTGTTTCTCTGGTTCTCTAGACTTTTATTCTTCTTGTTAGTCATGCAGAAGCTCATTGGTTTTACACTCTGATTCTTTCCAGTGTAAATATGTTGCAAAACATGCATGACTTATTTCTGGGGGCTCTGATTCATGGTTCATTTTTTTTCTCCTTTTTACATATTAGACTCCTATTGCATTTCTAATTGAAATTCTTGTATTCTACGTCATTCAAAATGTGAAAATTAGGCTCCTATATATACTTTACATGGTTTGGCCTCTTCAATAGGCTTGAACATATAGAAAAACATTGTATAGGTTTGAGAGAACATCGAAGTGAGAGGATTTAGATGAGAGGGAGAGGGAGAGGGGGAGGGAGGGAGAGAGAGAGGGAGGGAGGGAGAGAGAGAGAGAGACGCACATCTTGAAATAGGTTAAGAGTCTTGCGAGATCCTTGTACTTCTTTGCTATTGATTATAGTGAATCTCCGCCTCTTCCATTGTTTTCCCGGATATAGGTTTCTACGTAAATTTTGTGTTTCTAGTGTGATTAACTATTTTTTCATATTTCCTATATTTCTTGTCCTTAATATTCATAACAAGTGGTATAAGTATTATCACTGAATTGTTGCAAATTGGCTCAATATTTCTTAACAGTTATGTTGACTTTCTTTAATTTTTCTAATTTTTTTAATAGAAATACTGTACATATAATATCTTGTTCATATTTAACTTTAACTTTAACTTCGTCATGTTAAAAGTATCCATTAAGCCCAAAAAAGGAAGATTTCAAATTTATTATTAATCTAAAAAAATATAGTCATCGTGGATGGTTTGACCCATGAGATCCATGAGTCAAGGGTCAAATTGAGCCTCGGTCTTCACATGTAAATAGAGCTTAGCTCATCCACAGAATCGAGCTGAGCTCGTGTTTATGAGGGTCGAGCCGACTCAATCCATCATCAACCCTAGTAAGGATTGAATCATTTGAAATTGGGATCCACCAAGCATGAGTTAGATCCAAGGCTATTTTCAACCTTTCTGCACGAACCCCATGTAGCAAGAGGTGTTTGGTCCTTGCATGGCTGCAAAGTTAGGTAGCACAATGTGATACAAGGGGTGTCGATAATACAAGTTAGGTACTTTGCATAAGAAATGTAATGTGATACAACTTATATTTTGATAATAACTTAAATAGTTTTCCATCAATATAATGAGGGCTGACACCTTAATTGAAAGGTTATAGTGTTGATTGATTCACCATTAAGGATAAGAATCCTTATCGGATAAATAGTTTAAAGGTGACACTAGTACTTTTAGAGTGTATTGATTGTATCACATGTCCAATTTATTCTATAACATGATCGTACTGTGACTTAAATTTCATTTGCTTGTTGAGAATCTCATCTAAATTTTTGGACGTAGTTTTGTATATCTTTTAGTAGGTTTAATAGTTTTTTTATTATTTACCAATAAGTGAGATCAATTTTGATTGATCATATATTTCATTGAGTCAGAAACTTGAGAACAAGTAAAGTAGAGAACGCGAATTCCTATTGAGAATCATTCCCTTGAAAAATGAGTTGAATGACTATTGAAGTGTTTTATGTTGAATGGTTATAAATTTGGGATCAGTTTTAGCGATTTCAAAATTTTGACATATGTGATTAGTTCACTTGATAAGAAAATCGAGCTTAACTTAGTGAGAATAGTTAGAGAGGCAAAAAAGTTGTTCATGCTCATACCCAATTATGAATCTCGAATGGGGATGAAATACCTATACTACATACGTTAGAGGAAAGTCTTACAGATTTAGATTAGCTTATGTGATTTTATATATTTTGAGAGTTGATACTTTTTGTTTAGTGGAGAAAAACAATGAACAATAATTATATTGATTGGTCTTTTTGATAATATATGTCCAAATTAGTTCCTATGTAGCTTGGTAAAGTTTTGGACTAACTTGCTATTCCTTGATATATTGGAAACTAACTGTAGTTAAGGTTCAGGCCATGTACAATTAAACTAATTGTTACCTAATTTGACTTGAACAAGACTTTTTTTCTCTACAAATACTGCCACATGGTGGCCAAAAATTCTAAGTGAAGAAGAGAGAGAAAATTGGGAATTTTTTTTTTCTTCTTGTTTTCTTAGTATTTTCTCTATTCGTCCAGTCTAGAATTAGATTTTAGGTTTAACTAAAAGAATGTTCTCACGAGTCAATATAGTTTAGATTTATGGAAATATAATAGAAGGCTCAAAAGTTAAAAGCGCCAGTTCATGAAATCAAAAGTTGAAAGTCCATGATCTGAAAGATTGGAAGTTCATGATTCTTATCTAGTCAAGAAATTGTCGAATTTTGATAAATTTTAAATCTTTATTTCTTGATTATAAAATATACGCGAACATTTAATAAAAATCTTTCATCTTGCATTAAATAATTTTTCGGAAAAATTTTGTACCACATTTCAAAAATTAGTATTAGAGCAATCTAGATCGTTTACGTGTTATACTTTCTAAAATTTGATTGCTAGATCTAGTTGAGCGATGTCTAGAATAATTGGTTTATGTTATTGAATGGTTCAAATTTTTTTAAACTGTGATTTGATTATTTATGGTTAATTACTTGATTGTAATTTATTTTTTCGTTTTCTCCTTCAATCAACTCATAAGTAACAAAACATTCAAGTCTTATTCGATTAATGTAACATACTCTTTATAGGAGGGTTGTACATTTTGAGTTGCCTGATTTGATTCCTTTAAGATATGATCATCTAGTTAAAAAATAATGTGATTTATCCTATAGATTGTGGATTTATTTTCAAGTATATAGCGATCTAGCGATTTAGATAATGTTATATGCTCAAATTGAGTTCTTCTACGAGTTTTCTGTAGAGGCTCTTTCTTATGATTCTGGAGACCAAATCAAAACGAAATTGGGCTTATCTAGATATTTATTGTTAGACATGATTTGTCTAGTGAGCTCATTCGAATATCTATTTGTCTTGATTTATTGTTATTTTGAGCGAAGATCTACTTAATTACGTTAAATTTTGTTAATTGTCAGTAAAACTAGGACTCGACAAGTTTTGAATGAAATTATATTGAGATGTACGAAATGAAGAACTGGGGACAAAAATGATCAAGCCTTGAAGTAGAGGACTTGCTACTCATTCTTTTTATGGGACATACAATATCAAAGAGAGAAATGTACATAATCATCAAAATCAAATGGCAAAAATTTAGAATTTGAAGATTTTTGAGATTAAAGCAGAAGATTTTTGGTTTAAGATTCAATTCTTTTCATCATCAATAGTTCGAAATCTGATAATTTATGTGTGATAGTATGAGGAGCGAATCTCATAATTAGAGAAAATAATGTAATTTATGTGTGAACCTTTAATTTTCAAGAT